ATCACCTTTGCGTTACGCTTCTTCTAGTTGCGCTTTACAACTGACTGCTCCTGTTTCCTTGTTGCAAGTATATATTTTAGGTGTGATGAAAAAAATAAGAAAGGTGTGATGATTTTTGTTTCCTCTAAAAAATTTTTTCCCTATATTTTTTCGCTCCCGTTTTTTATGTGATAAATTGGAAGTTGAGCAGATCTACTACTATTCAGTTTAACAAAAATTAAATCAATTCTTGGGTGAGAAAGCACCAACGATGTATAGATTTACTACCCTTCAGTTTAACGATAATAATTTAATAAATCTTAGGGTGAGCACACGACAGTTCAATAAATTTTTAAGCAAGCAAGTGTCGACGGCCGGTAGCTTAACCGTTTTTTAGTTTTTTAACAATTGAATGAATTCTTGGGTGAACAAGCAGCAGCAGCGATGAGTAGCTCTACTACTTTTCAGTTTCACAATAAATAATTGAATAAACTTTTGAACAAGCAAGTGCCAGCCATCAGTAGCTCTATCGTTTTTTAGTTTTACGACAATAGAATAAATTTTTGGGCAAAAAATTCCGAAGATTAGTAGCTCTACCGTTTTTTAGTGTGACAATAATTACAGAAACTTTTAGGTCAGCAAGGGCTAGTGATGAACGGTTCAATTCATTTTTAGTTTAACAACAATTAGATGAATTTTTGGGTGAGCCAGCGTCGGTGATAAGTGGCTCAATTTTGTTGTAGTGATATACAAAATAGTAGTTACAGTACCTGGTAGCGCATGTCGTCAGGGCAAGCATCAGGCCCGAGGAACTCCTTTGGCTTACCCTGGTTAAATTCGCGTTATGTGTGAACTCTACTTTTTCTACTGAGGGCTCTGTAAACGTCCAAAGTAGAAAAATAAATTTATTTTTCGATGAGCAAGTGCAGCTCATAAGTATCCTCACTACTCCTTAGTTATGTCCAATTATTCCTTAGTTATGTTTAACTAAAAACTTTTGCTTTTCATTTATAGTTATACTGTTCTTGAAGTTAACGCACCTCAAACTGCCCATAAAAATAAATTTAAGTTAAATTTTTAGTCAAGTTAAAATCGTTAGGTCATTCTCTACCAACGCAAAAACGTTAAAAAACGTATTATCAATAATTAAGATATTTAAGTACTCAAATAAAGAAAGTGTATAACTTTCAATTAGTTTTTATCAAATTTTATATGCATAAAAAAAGTTATTGCTATCATTGTGAATCTTGTAAATAAGTGTTATTTCCTGTACAATTAATCATTGCATAAGTATTTTAATATTAAAAACGCCTTTTTCTTTTAAAAAAAGTTGTATTACAAAATGTTAACTAATTAATTGTGTCCTTATTATAGATCATTGAAAATTCACTAGTGTCTTCATTATTAAAACAAATTTATCCATTATCAAAAATATGTCTTATTTAAATGTAGTGATTCTGTATTTCTTAGCCCAGATATTGAGTTTTCAAAGTATACTTTTAATTATATTTACTTTAAGACAAATCTTGATGTACAATTTTTTTTAAATGTAACATTTAGCATTAGTAATTATTTTTTCTGTACAAACGTATATCTTTTTAGACAAAAGCATTTACCGAGTCAATCAACATTAATCAGTTGAAGGTGTTTTACTTTTTGAGCCAGCGTTCCGGAAATACTAATCGCTTTAATTGGTATTAGAAAAAAATAACGATGAATATATAAAACTTTTATACCAACTTAAACATTCAATTTTGCGTACCGCAAATATGAAAAAAACAATTTATGTAATTTTTTATACAGCTTGTCTAAAAAATCTTGCATTCAGTCTACCTATTAAAGAGCTACAATTTTAATTACAATTTTAATTAACTTAATTATTGATTACGATGGGTGTACGTTATTATACTAATATAGAATAGAGTTGAATAAATTAGGCTAGTTACATTGAATTTTCTATGAATATTTAATATTGTACGCCTATTAAAAGTGTGAAATACGTTTGTTATTGGAGTTCCAAAAAAAGAGGCAAAAAATAAGGAAATGATTTTGATTTAGATATTGTACAGGATATTAATGATAATGATAGATTCTTAAGTCCCATAAATTCTGCTTCAAAATTATAAGAATTTCCAAGTTGTGCACCATTAATCAAGTAATATATTCTAGAATTGACGTTGAAAAAAAATATATATACATTTTTCTCAATATATATATATATATTAGAGCGGCGTCAACTCAGTGGTAAGCGTGTTTCTTACTGGTAAAACACCGTTTTAGGGGTCGTGTGTTCGATTCCTGTGAGTACAAATTTTTTCAAAAACTATTTTGACTAAAAAAAATTCCTAATGAAACCCCAGCTATTTCGCAGTGAACTTTTTTGTAGAATTTCTTCAGAGTGATTCCAGGATTTTTTTCTTGCCCTTCCAGGTCTTCAGAGCAGAGTAGATGTGGAGTAGTGTTATGGCTATAGATAGGGATTAACGGATCCCATACCAAGCGCCACGGAGGAATCGTTGGCCTTGTCGGTGAGAAGTGGTCCCAGAAATGTGGGGCTTTTCTGGGAATGCTAATTAGCCTCGATTCGATGCTTTGGCAGAGAGAGTTGGCTTAACTGGTGAAATGTAGATATCTTGAAATATGGAGTCATCTCTGGGAAAAGGCTACACAGTGTCGAGTGAACCCGAAGCATCATTGGTGCAGAGAGTGCCAGCTTAACTAGTAAGAGGTTGAACCGGAAATATTTCTACTGTGCCCATGGTATAGTAGGTACGATATTAATTAAGGGGCTGATTAAAGGGTGCGGTAATACACCCCAATACACAAGCGGTGTGTGTGTGTGTGTGTGCGTGTTTGTGTGTATGTGTAGCCGCGGTGACTAGGCCAATTGGCTGTCGCGGTAAGCTGATAAAAAAAAATTAGTTTTAAAAGAAGCTAAGTAAAAAGGACAATTAGAAGATGACAAACACTATGTACAGCTTTTTTGTTATTATCTGCTGTCATTCGTCAAACTAATAATGGATATTTAGCATTAGTATTAAAATTATAACGAAGTCTCTAAGAAGTAAAAATAACTTTGTGAACTTCAAATTTGTAGTGTGGATTTGAATGTAAATATTTTCATTTTCTTAATCATAAAATTGTAAACCAGTTCAAAATGAAAATAGAGTATTACTATGCAATAGATTATTTAATTTGTATGGACATAGATAAATTTGATATTGATATTCAAATTGTATTGTATTGCATTTTGCTTACAGTCGTTCCGGGGTTCTTATGTATTTTAAGTTCCTATCTTTTATTCCTATTTTTACTTGAAATCTCATCTCTTTCCCTAAGTATTCGAGTTTTCTGTGCTGACCCACAGAGCTAATTTCCCTCTGATGACTTGTTCAGCTATCCTAACAGGTACTATTGTAGCGATTGTTTAAAACACACGCTAGCGTTATGCGGTTGATCGAAAAGAACTCTTCCATTGACTATAATTTCACCATACTACGTTTTTCAAACTCGATAGTGACTTTTCAAATGAGCTGATTTGTTATTTTCTTCCTTGTAAAGTTAGCCTCTGGAGGTCCATCAACCGAAGAAAACTGTTATAGGTCAAAAAATTAATAAGTAGTTTTTCAGCATCCTTGGACATTCAGCTTATTGAATGATCTGAGAAAAACTCTCCATATCTTTCTACGAGATAACGACACCTAATTAATTGATTTTCTTAGACTAGGAGGTTAGTACATTAACCACTTACCTATCCAAGCTCTACAGGGATATTTATAAATAGTTTTTATGGATTCATTACAAATATTACATAATCATTAATGATAGACGATTGCAAATCTGTCAGTTTGATTGATGTACATCACCAAAAAAGAAATTGTAAGTGGAGAAAAATGGTACTAAAGTTTTTATAGCAAAAGCACCATAAAATTTGAGAAAAACATCTACATTACTTTGCATTTCATTCAAAAAGCTGTTTCCTTTAGTTTTAGTGTTTTCAATAATTATTAAAAAAAAACTTGAAAACAAAGTTCTAATAAAAGTGGTTCAAAATTCATAACAAATTAATTATCCTATGGTCAGTTGAAAGGAAAATCATTGAGGTACAATGGTGAAGATGATTTTTTGTTGAAATTGGATTGACAGTGATTTTGAAATGAAAACATAGTTTAAAAAGAAATTAATAATATGTATGAATTGTGCATGTTAATAAAGTATTCTGATATTTGTATCTGACAGAATTTTGTTGTACGTGGTATTTAATAATACGTGTTCGGAGAAGAATGATAATAATGATAATTTTTTTTCTGGTATTACGTAACTAAGTTTTTTATAATTATTCTTGAATTATGTTACAATTTTACGTACAATGAAAATTTATAGCAAAATAAAAAAAAAAATTTTTTTTACGTAGGTTTTAATTAACAAAACAATTATTTAATCAAAGACGCACTTCGTAAGAGTTTTGCTCGAGTTGATTTGTGGAGGATTACCGTTAGAATATTTAACAAGCTGTGATAGTATAAATCCTTACGTACATTGTGAAGGTTATGGGGATCTTACAAAGGTAGCTGTAAAAATTTGTTGGAAGCTATATAAAGCAATAGGAGAAAAATTATATTTTTAACTACTAAAAATGACGAAGAAACTCCTCAAGTTTGCTTTTATTTTAGTTTTTAAGATACAAGCTTGTCTTTTTACTATCTGATTCATATTTGGAACTTATTTCTTATATTATGTATATTAAGTATCTTAGATACCATCAATGCGGAAATTTTATCCCTTTTAGAGAGGATCTAATTTAGTTTATTTTGCATTATTTAATCATTACTACGAGTTAATAATAGTCCTTCTGGTTTTTTCTTACGTTTCTAACAAATTTTTTGATATTGATCTGACTTGCACATTATGTTAAAATTCAATTTCATATTATTATTTTTTCTTGTAATGAGCAGTAATATTGTAAAATTGTAAGTTCCTTCAGAGTTTCTGAATTTTTAACATTTTAAAATTTTTTGTAGGTCATGGTCAAATCAGAGCAAAAATCGACAAACAGTAAAGAAAACAAGAAAAGAGATACGTTAGTGAAAAACACAAAAGATAAAAATCAAGAGAAAGATAAAGAGACAGAAATTGATGCTGTTAGCCAATATTATAAAATAGGAGATGCAGTTGATTGTACCGACAATGCTCATGGAGCTTGGTACGAGGCAATTATTCTGCGAATATTTTTTAATGCTGGAAAATTGTTTTACAAAATCCGATGGGATTTGACAGATTCTAATGACGAGCCGTTTAATGTAGAAGAAAAGTTTTTAAGACCTAGGGCTTGGAAAGTTTTAAATTTTGATGAGTTAGAAATTGGTCAAAGAGTTATGTTAAATTACAATTTAGAAAATGCAAAAGAAATTGGATACTGGTATGATTTTACGATAAAAAAAATAGAATGCACTCAAAGTATAAACAAATTAACTGGTACGATTCATGTGGGAAATCAAAGCAATATTTATAATAATATTGATAACTGCACTACTAATACATCTCTTGGAGTCTACAGAATAGAAAAGCCAGTCCTGCTGACTGAAAGAGATGACACTTTAACGACATTGCGCATACCTAAGTCTCGTAGAGAAATACCGGTGAAATGTAAAAGCTGCCAAGATAACCCGCGTAAGAAGTGTAGAGAGTGTAGTTGTAGAGTTTGCGCTGAGAAGAAGGACCCTCATCTTACCTTACTTTGCGATGAATGTGATGATGCTTATCATTTAAGTTGCTTAAAACCTCCGTTGACTGAAATTCCTAAAGATGATGATTGGTATTGTCCAAATTGTAAGGTGAATGCAAATGAGATTGTAAGAATTGGTCAAAAAGTAATGGCAAAAAAGGTGAGTGGTATTGCTGTTGTCAAGAAAAGAGATTGGGGAAAGGGAATGGCATGTGTGGGTCGAACAAAAGTCTGTACTATTGTCCCACTTAATCATAAAGGTCCCATTCCTGGTATAGAAGTGGGCACCACTTGGAAGTATAGATTTCAAGTGTCTGAAGCTGGTGTTCATAGACCTCACGTGGCTGGCATACATGGCCGTTCTGACATGTGTGCCTTCTCTATTGTCTTATCAGGAGGATACGAAGATGACGTAGACAATGGAGAAGAATTTTTTTATACTGGATCTGGGGGCAGGGATTTGTCTGGCAACAAGAGGACAGCAAAACAAAGTTCTGACCAGCAATTGACCCTTATGAATAAAGCTTTAGCTTTAAACTGCAAAGCTACACTCAATCCAAATGGGGCTGAAGCTACAGACTGGAAACAAGGTATACCAATTCGAGTTGTCAGAAATTTTAAACTGGCAAAACACAGCCACTATGCTCCTAATGATGGAAACCGATATGACGGCATTTATAAAGTAGTCAAGTACTGGCAAGGAAAAGGACAGAGTGGATTTAAAGTGTGGCGCTACTTGTTAAGAAGAGATGACCCGGTACCGGCTCCATGGACAAAAGAGGGCATAGCCAGAATAAAAGAATTGAATCTAAAAATTATATATCCTGAGGGTTATCAAGAAGCTCTAAAAAAAAAAAATAAAGAAAATGGAGCGAAAAATAATCAGAAAAATGAGACAAAAAAACGCAAATTAGACTTGATAACTGATACAATCGATTCTCCAGCGAAAAAACAGAAAAATGGCTACAAATTGAACAATAAACTTTTGGAATTAATAGAAACAGATTCGGCTAATGCTAAATTGTGGAGCCAATGTAGGGAGTATGTTGCTGATGGGAAGCAAGCATTTTATGAAAAAGTTGCTGCAGAATTTATTTGTATTATTTGCCAAGATTTAGTACACAAGCCTATCACGACACCATGTGCACACAATATATGCAGTGCTTGCTTAAAAAGAAGTTTTGAAGTTAATAGTTATACTTGTCCAATGTGTCGCTCTGCATTAGAAAAAAATTATAAAATAGAAATTAATGAAACTCTACAGTCTATCCTGCTCTTTATGTTTACAGAATGTGAACCAAGATAATCAATATGTATTTTCTATTTATTTTATCTTATAAAGTTCAATATTCTTTGTAAATATCAGTATTAAGTATTTATTCTGATTGTGTATTTTTAAATTATTTGAAGTCAATCTAAAGTATTCAATCTTAATTTCTGTTACATTTTTAAAATACAGTTTTATATGAACTATTTCAAATTGCATTATATTTTAATCTGTCATATCAGTTGAATAAAACAAGTTATTTCTCTTAATTTGTTTCGTTTTTGTATCCTAATCTAACTCTAAATACCAAATTTTCCAATAACTATAGTTGTCCTGTTAAAATTTCAGGAAGATAGTGCAGAAAATGCTATGTGTGAATAACGTCTTTAAGACTACTTTATGTTAAGTGTTGTTTCACATACAAAATAATACATTTAAAATTATTTGTTTCGTGCAGCAATTTGAAACAACGCCACCTGCAGGGGACAAGTGGTCGATGCTAACTAACAAAAATACACAGTATCTTATGGACAATGATCTGTTGCAAGCGTTTATTTCAACAGTAATGTATATTTAACAAATGACGTAATTTTTTTGGGTGTTGAGTATACTTTTAAGCCAAGAAATTCCTATTTAATAGTACCATAATAAAAGAACCAGTGCACACTGGGTGCTTGGGTACCCAAGTAAGAAGTTATACTTCTATAAAATTATATAGCAAATACTATAATTGTAAACGTAAGTGTACCTTGTATGAAACGGTATTATGTACGAAAATAGTGCAATTATCGTTGGAAACAGTGTACCTTCGTTAATTGGGTGTGGTTTCAATAAATATTGTAATATATAATAATAGAACAGTTATAAACAAAATTTTATGGTATAATACAATATAAACAATATGGCAGCTGGTCAGTACAAGATTGTGCTCTTTCATCAAATCTTCCTATGGTTTAAAAAAAACTTTCTAAGAAAATAAGAAATACCCTTGTAAAATAGCAGATCGTTCAATTGTATCCTTTTTCACATGTTTAATTTAAAGAATTTATTATTTAATCATTACTACGAGTTAATAATAGTCCTTCTGGTTTTTTCTTACGTTTCTAACAAATTTTTTGATATTGATCTGACTTGCACATTATGTTAAAATTCAATTTCATATTATTATTTTTTCTTGTAATGAGCAGTAATATTGTAAAATTGTAAGTTCCTTCAGAGTTTCTGAATTTTTAACATTTTAAAATTTTTTGTAGGTCATGGTCAAATCAGAGCAAAAATCGACAAACAGTAAAGAAAACAAGAAAAGAGATACGTTAGTGAAAAACACAAAAGATAAAAATCAAGAGAAAGATAAAGAGACAGAAATTGATGCTGTTAGCCAATATTATAAAATAGGAGATGCAGTTGATTGTACCGACAATGCTCATGGAGCTTGGTACGAGGCAATTATTCTGCGAATATTTTTTAATGCTGGAAAATTGTTTTACAAAATCCGATGGGATTTGACAGATTCTAATGACGAGCCGTTTAATGTAGAAGAAAAGTTTTTAAGACCTAGGGCTTGGAAAGTTTTAAATTTTGATGAGTTAGAAATTGGTCAAAGAGTTATGTTAAATTACAATTTAGAAAATGCAAAAGAAATTGGATACTGGTATGATTTTACGATAAAAAAAATAGAATGCACTCAAAGTATAAACAAATTAACTGGTACGATTCATGTGGGAAATCAAAGCAATATTTATAATAATATTGATAACTGCACTACTAATACATCTCTTGGAGTCTACAGAATAGAAAAGCCAGTCCTGCTGACTGAAAGAGATGACACTTTAACGACATTGCGCATACCTAAGTCTCGTAGAGAAATACCGGTGAAATGTAAAAGCTGCCAAGATAACCCGCGTAAGAAGTGTAGAGAGTGTAGTTGTAGAGTTTGCGCTGAGAAGAAGGACCCTCATCTTACCTTACTTTGCGATGAATGTGATGATGCTTATCATTTAAGTTGCTTAAAACCTCCGTTGACTGAAATTCCTAAAGATGATGATTGGTATTGTCCAAATTGTAAGGTGAATGCAAATGAGATTGTAAGAATTGGTCAAAAAGTAATGGCAAAAAAGGTGAGTGGTATTGCTGTTGTCAAGAAAAGAGATTGGGGAAAGGGAATGGCATGTGTGGGTCGAACAAAAGTCTGTACTATTGTCCCACTTAATCATAAAGGTCCCATTCCTGGTATAGAAGTGGGCACCACTTGGAAGTATAGATTTCAAGTGTCTGAAGCTGGTGTTCATAGACCTCACGTGGCTGGCATACATGGCCGTTCTGACATGTGTGCCTTCTCTATTGTCTTATCAGGAGGATACGAAGATGACGTAGACAATGGAGAAGAATTTTTTTATACTGGATCTGGGGGCAGGGATTTGTCTGGCAACAAGAGGACAGCAAAACAAAGTTCTGACCAGCAATTGACCCTTATGAATAAAGCTTTAGCTTTAAACTGCAAAGCTACACTCAATCCAAATGGGGCTGAAGCTACAGACTGGAAACAAGGTATACCAATTCGAGTTGTCAGAAATTTTAAACTGGCAAAACACAGCCACTATGCTCCTAATGATGGAAACCGATATGACGGCATTTATAAAGTAGTCAAGTACTGGCAAGGAAAAGGACAGAGTGGATTTAAAGTGTGGCGCTACTTGTTAAGAAGAGATGACCCGGTACCGGCTCCATGGACAAAAGAGGGCATAGCCAGAATAAAAGAATTGAATCTAAAAATTATATATCCTGAGGGTTATCAAGAAGCTCTAAAAAAAAAAAATAAAGAAAATGGAGCGAAAAATAATCAGAAAAATGAGACAAAAAAACGCAAATTAGACTTGATAACTGATACAATCGATTCTCCAGCGAAAAAACAGAAAAATGGCTACAAATTGAACAATAAACTTTTGGAATTAATAGAAACAGATTCGGCTAATGCTAAATTGTGGAGCCAATGTAGGGAGTATGTTGCTGATGGGAAGCAAGCATTTTATGAAAAAGTTGCTGCAGAATTTATTTGTATTATTTGCCAAGATTTAGTACACAAGCCTATCACGACACCATGTGCACACAATATATGCAGTGCTTGCTTAAAAAGAAGTTTTGAAGTTAATAGTTATACTTGTCCAATGTGTCGCTCTGCATTAGAAAAAAATTATAAAATAGAAATTAATGAAACTCTACAGTCTATCCTGCTCTTTATGTTTACAGAATGTGAACCAAGATAATCAATATGTATTTTCTATTTATTTTATCTTATAAAGTTCAATATTCTTTGTAAATATCAGTATTAAGTATTTATTCTGATTGTGTATTTTTAAATTATTTGAAGTCAATCTAAAGTATTCAATCTTAATTTCTGTTACATTTTTAAAATACAGTTTTATATGAACTATTTCAAATTGCATTATATTTTAATCTGTCATAT